ACGAAAGAAAAGATCAAAGGAATAAATTATTGAGCAACTAACCCTTTAAATTACCTAAATTCATTTGACATGAACAGAATCAGAAATGAAACAAACACTGAAGAAAATTTAAACCTAATATTAGCACGAGTTTCAGAGGAAAATTATTAAAACCTAATTAAAAACTTAAACCTACGTACAAGTAATGAAACTAGCAATTGAAGAAAGAAAAGGAGAACCTAAACCATGTGGCTAAATCAGACATAGAACCAATTGAAAAGAAACAAACCCTTAATTACTCTACCATATTGAACTAACCTGACTTAATTAACCTAAATGCATCGAACTATATTTAATTAAAACGATTAACTAAGTAAACTTATTTTACTCAAATTTAAACAAACCAGCAATCAAAACAAACAAGATTGACACATAACTAAAAGAAAAGAAAGAAGAAACAGAGACAAACTGATTTTGGCCATGAATGTGATGACGAACGAAGCAAGCCAACGAATCGACGAAGCTGACAAGGTTTGGCCGGCCAGTGGGTACTTGGTCGGAATCCGGTAGGTCATGAAATCAGCCAAAACTAATGATAATCGATTGTTCTTGTGAAGAACAATCGATTAGCATAAACTTTGGCTCAAATCGATCCTTCGAGACTGTTGAAACCAGAATAGGAGCGGGTTTGGGTTTTTCAGTTTTCCTTTGGGATCTCAGATTTGAACATTGACAGTGTTAAGGGTGATTTGAGGAAAACTGGTAGTGGATTTGGGAAGAAGGGGAGGTGAGGAGTATATGGTATGAATTTGGTGGTGTTTGGAGCACTTAGGTTTTTCGGGGCGGGGGGTATTCGGACACTTTTATACAAAAGACTCGCCCAGTTCCGAGCCGTTGGATCACAAGGATCCAACGGTTATGATTGATGGGCGATGAAACGGGGTCGTTTGGTTAAGTGGGGGAACTGGACCGGGCATGTGAGATTGGGCTTAGGTGATTTGGGGCGAATTTGGGTAGTTTTTTGGGCTAGTTTTGGTATAGCTGGCCCAATTCCGAGATTAAAAACTCCTCTTTTGCTTATTTCCTTTTCTTTTTCTTTTTATTTTCTTTAATTAAAAATCCTAAAATTAAAATCCTAAATTACCTAAATTGTAAAATTAAACCAATTACCTAATTACAATAATTATAAAAGTTACTTAATTCTAAATTAAAGGAAAAAAATCAATAACCTAAAAATTAAAAGGTAAAAAATGTAAAATGAGCTATTTTGTGATTTTCAATTTTTATAAATCAAATAATTACTGATTAATCCTAAAAATGTAAAAACAAAGCCTAAATGCAATGCATGGTATTTTTGATATTTTTTTATGATTTAAATAAAAATTAAACATGCAAAAATGCAAACAATTAATAAAATTATACAAAAACTCCTAAAAATGACAAATAATTAAGAAAAAAAAATCTATTTTCTTGGAAATTTATAGGAGTATTTCATATAGGTCAAAAATCACATGCTCACAATGTCTCTACGAAAAAAGTGAAACCGAAATAACGCGTTGAAGTAATGCAACAAGATGATATTGAACCAAAATCTGTCAATGAATGCAGATAGAGAAATGACTGGCCAAAATGGAAAAATGCAATTCAAGCGGAATTGGCCGCACTCGAAAAATGTAAAGTTTTCGGACCAATAGTTCGAACGCCTAAAGATGTCAAGTTAGTGGGGGTACAAATGAGTTTTTGTGCGAAAACGAAATGAGAAAGGTAAAGTTGTAAGACATAAAGCACGACTGATGGCATAAGGGTTTCCGCAAAGGCCTGTCATTGATTATACAGAGACATATTCTCATGTGGTAGATGCAATTACCTTCAGGTATCTAATAAATCTGGCATTCCATGAAAAGCTTGATATGCTGTTGATGGATGTTGTCACAACCTATTATATGGCTCATTGGACAGTAAATTTTTTATAAAAATCCCTGAAGGATTTAAATTCCTAAAGCACATAAAAGTTCAAGGGAAACTTATTCAATAAAGCTTTCAGAAATCCTTATACAGATTGAAGCAATCAGGGAGGATGTGGTACAATCGCCTTAGCGAGTATTTGCTAAAGGAAGGGTACAAATATGACCCTATTTGCCCTTGTATCTTTATTAAGAGGTCTGGATCTAAATTTGTCATTGTAGCTGTGTATTTTGAGGACTTGATTATCATTGACACTTCAAAAGAGCTTCCGAAGGCCGTAGAGTGTTTGAAGAAAAAATTTGAAATGAAAGATCTTGGAAGATAAAATTTTATCTTGGCCTACAAATTGAGCACGTGACAAATGGAATATTTGGCCATCAATCAACATATACTGAAAAGGTTTTAAAGCGATTTTACATAGATAATGCACATCCATTGAGTACCCCAATGGTTATGAGATCGCTTAACATAAATAAAGATCCATTTAGGCCTCAAGAAAATGATGAAGAGCTTGTTGGTGATGAAACTCCATATCTTAGTGCAATTGGGGCACTGATATATCTTGCCAAAAATACCCGAACAGATATTGCTTTTGTAGTAAGCTTGTTAGCAAGATTCAGCTCCTCCCCAGCAATAAGACATTGGAATAGTGTTAAGCATATATTTAGATATCTTCGGGGAACTATAGATATAAGATTCCTTTATTCTAATAAATTCAAGTCAGAAATGATTGGCTATGCCGATGCAGGTTATTTGTCTGATCCATATAAAGCACGATCTCAAATGGGCTATTTGTTTACATATGGAGGTACAACTATATCACGGCGTTCAATGAAACAAACAATCATTGCCACATCTTCAAATCATGCTGAAATAATAGACATTCATGAAGCTAGTCGGGATGTGTTTGGTTGAGATCAATGACTATTCAGGACATGTGTGATTTACTTATGAAAAAAGATAATCCAACTACACTATATGAAGACAATGCTGCTTGCATTGTTCAACTGAAAAGAGGATACATCAAATGAGACAAAACAAAGTACATTTCACCGAAGTTCTTTTTCACGCATGCTCTTCAACAAAATGGTGAAATTAATGTTCAACAGATTCGTTCATGTGAAAATTTGGCTGATCTGTTCACTAGGGAGTTACCAACTTCAATATTTGAGAAGTTGAGTCAGAAGATTGGAATACACCGTTTTCGAGAAAAAAAGTGATGTTTTCATGAGGGGAGTAAGATATGCAATGTACTCTTATTCCCTTAGCCTAGGCTTTATCCCACTGAATTTTCCTGGTAAGGTTTTTAACGAGGCAACAAATAAAGCGTATTACAGATATGTGTACTATTTTTCCTTCACTAAGATTTTTTTCCACAAGAATTTTTCTTAGTAAGGTTTTAACGAGGCATATTATCTATTTTTGGACATCCAAGGGGAAGTGTTGTAAAACTATTAGTAAATGTGGATGTTCACTACTCCCACTACTTTCACCCATGATATAAATAACCTCCTACTACTCATCAATATTATGATTGTCAGGGGCGGATCCAACCCTTTGGTACCGGATTCAACTGAACCATGCGCGACCCGACGAATTTTGTGGCCTAAAGCCATATTTTACGAGGGGCCTCAATTTTTTTGTTAATTTTTTTTTTAAATTTAAAGTCCATTTTCCTAGTTCTTTTAGATACAAAGTTATTAATAATTTTTTTATAATCAATTTTTTTCTAATAATTCCTTCTCAAGTGACAATATAGTTAATCTATTTAACCTCTCTTCAGACATTATTGAGCTTAGTTAGGATTTTATTAATTTTAATTTTGAAAAACTTCGTTTTACTGAATTAGCGGTAATAGGAGTTATTAACATTATTCTATAAGCAATATAGACATTTGAAAAAGAATCAAATCTTTTTATTTGGTTGAATATATCAATTAAACAATTATCTTCTAACTATACTATTTTTCTAACACTTTTAATTTAGAAAATAAATCTAAATTATCAATATCAATTGATTATTATGCTTGAAGGAACACTCAAGATTAAGGCAGTAACAACATCAACAACAACAACAACAACTACCCAATAAAATCCCACCAGTATTTTTCTAAATTTTCATCATCTGATGATCTCAGTTTTTTACGCTAAATAGAAAACAAAACATATTTTCATATGCTTCAAATTGTTCAAATCTATTTTGAATTGAAAAACTAGTCTTGTCTACTATGTATAAAAAGTAATTAACTCTAAAGGACTCTTCGAGAGATTTTGAGATTTCAATATCAATATTCTCGTCAAATTATTTTTTTTCTATATATCACACGTTTCTTCCGAAGTTCGGATTTGATTTTCATTTCAAATGCAATTTCCTTGGCAGAAATCATACTAGTTGCAAATCCTTTACCCCTTAAGCTTTCAAGACTATAAGTTTTAAGTCTTTTTTCTTTTTCTTAAACTCCGTGGCGAGTCAAACAACCTCATCTAAATTAAAACATATGGAGTTATATAATGTATTAGGTGTAACAAAAAATGGGCCCCCCACAAATGTGGGGCCTAAATCCTGCTTTAGGGTAAGGCCGCCCCTGAATTGAACCTAATGCTTTTTGTGCGGAGTATAAATTTATATGTAAAAAATTACTAAAATTACAACATATAGTAAGTATGAACCGATACTTTTAAAAATAAAATTGGTTTGAACCCATAGAATTTAAATTCTGTATCGGCTTCTAAAGTTGTAACTCCTGCACCTCCGTAACCCATCCCTTGATCTTCGCCCATGATCTCAATTGTTATTGTCATATTTAAGACAATCATCTTGTAACCTTCTATATAACAATATAAATAAAGGCATAAAATGTGATATGGGACACACTTCAACACTTGATGAAATAAAAAAGTTACTTCATATTCTATTACTTTATCTTCTTTATTTTATATTGTTACTTTGAGCTACATTTCTTAATACCACTTTTTTTTTTAACCTCCTCTTATTTTTGCGCCCTATTACTTTTTCCTTTATCTTTTTAAGTGTGTAAAAAAGGGAGAATAATTGGTTTTATAATAAAATCAGAAATTCCATTTCTTCACCAGCTCTAACTGACAGAATCTTGCCAAAATTCAACGCCCCTCACTCCCTGCAAATCCATCTCACTGCAAACTCCACATCCAATTTGGAGCTATTATACTCTGTTACTATTAATCTGAAGAAATTGCAAAAAAAAAAAAAATATGGGATCAGTGTTTGATGAAAAAGATTTCTTGGCATGCTGTGGGAGCACTAAATTCGGAAAGGAGATGGTAGCAGCTGCCCCCTTTTCCACTCTCCAAGATTCCATTCGTGCTGCCAGACATATCTGGTTCAACAAGGTTTTGTACATATACCCATTTCATCTCTGCCCATTATTTTTTTCTTTCTATTTTATCTTATATATACAGCTGTTAATTGATTGGTAACTTGGTCAGGTTGATGTAAATGGATGGCTTGAAGCTTTTGCTGCTCATCCACAAATTGGTCAAAGCCCTTCCAAGAATCACCAAAGCCCTACTTTTGCCCAGTACAGTCCTCTGTTTCCCTAAAAGTTTGCCTTTTTTGTTTCTTTATTTGAAGATTGTGTGGAAGTTCAATGTTATGCTAAGTTGATTTTGGGAAATGAATTTCTTACGCCCACAATCTTTTATTTTTAATTTTGGCTTTTAACAGTTGATAAGATCTTGATGCTTAATCGGCTAGAAAGTAAATCGCGATCATGATCCCTGCTAAAGTGGTCATGCTGCATTTAAAAAGTTTTATTTATTTATTTATTTTATTTTATTCAAATGTAGGCTCCTTGATGTTAGGTATTTGAAAGAGAAATATCAAATTTGTTAATACATAACATTCTACAGCCGTGTAGTATCTAAGATATTAGTTAAGAAATTCTAGAATTATCTAAATTCTGAAAATTGACTTTAGCATTTTTACATTTGCATTTGAAGCTATGTATAACTAGAACGTAACTTCTAGAAATTAAATGGTATTGCATCGATTGTCGTAACAAACTTGAATAAATAATGCTAATCGCTTGCTTCTTTTGGGAACATCTTTTATATGTGTATCTATTGTCAGATATGATCGTTTTTTATCTTATCTAATTTTGTATGACCGTTCATCCATTTTAATGTTTGTATTTATGGGACACTGAGCTATATGTTGGCCTTAGAGGCCTAACATTCAAACCAGCAAAATTGCTACGATGGATGTGCTTTGAGAGAACTGCTTTACCGCTGTTGTTCTGTCCTGTGGCTTCCCCATCCCCACCCTCCCGTCCGTAGACCTACAATTTTTACGATTTCATCTTCTCAAGCTATATGCTAATACCTTGTCAGACTGGAAGGTAAAGTTCAGTGTCTCCTTTTACAGGTGGAGTAAGGGAGAGCAGTCAACAGCTCTGGCCACTGCTACTGATTCTACATTACAGGTGTTTTGATCTAAAGTTATATGCCTATAGAAATCTATGAATCAAATGCAAAATAGTGTGGTTACCCTTTTCTATTGTTGATTGGGCCAAGTAGGTTAACTTTTTATTTTGTGCAAAAAAAGTTGAGAGTTTGCTTCATAATTGATATTGCAGGAACTGTTTGAGTGGAATGCTCGCTATAGGGAGAAGTTTGGATTTGTCTTCTTGATATGTGCTTCAGGGAGAAGTACCCCTGAGATACTTGCAGAGTTGAAGGTAAAGTCTCTCAATTTGAAGATAGAAAGATTGCATATATTTTATAGTAACCTCAATTATAATCAGGCATGTTATAATCGTATAGTTTTTAGAGCAAAGCTTTTAACTTTAGAACATGAATCATTTGAGTTAAAAAAATTCCATCTAATATTTAAAGCAATTCTTCAGTGATGAAGGCGTAGCAATTCTGTTTCACTCCCCCTGATGTCAAGACAGACTTTCATCCTGAATTCTATCTTGTGCCAAAGTTTGATATCCTTACAACATTATAAGGAAATCACCAGAGTTTGATCCCTTTGTTGGCTCACAGTGCATTGAGATACATAAAATAACTATGATTGATGTGAGAATGCCGAGTCTGACCTCCATCCTCTTGCATCATAAAAGGGGTGATCTTTTGAGGTCAGTCATGAGCTGTGGGAGAAGATAGTAGCGGACCAGAACAAATTCCCATTATCTAATTCTGATAGAACTTATAAAGGTTATGCGTGTGAATGTGATACATCACAAATACTTTAGCATTTCTTCATACTCCTTTCTGCAGCTCTCTTGGCACGTGATAACTTTTACCATGTGCTAAACCTGTCTTGCGTAAAGCTCCACCTAGCCATCCATAGTGAAATGGAAATTGCTCCTTATCATATCTCTGTTCATTAGGATACTCTCACTGGAATATTATGACAGTTCAGCTTTTGAGCAGTCTATGGGTCCATTCAACAATCTTTTTGAGAATATACGTGAACAAATAAGTATAGTCCAACCATTTCCTTAATTTCATTGGAGGGATTTGTATTCATTGGACGAAGCTATTACATTGTCCATTTTTCTGCCAATGGAGAATGTTATTTTTCCACAAGGGTGTCTTTTGTCCCTCGCTTTTTCTAACTGCATAAGAGCCATATTCTCTGATGGCCTTCAATCAAGGTCCTTGAGATTTTTAAATATCAGGAAGTAGACTATGTAGGCCGTTTTTCTGAACAACAGACTATTTGGGTTACTTTATCTACTGAGGGCAATGGTGAAATAAACTTGTTATCTATTTTGTCATTTAAATACTGATCCATATTCCATTTCAACTTTACCTCTTGTAGATACGGTACCAGAACAGACCAATAATTGAGTTTGAGATTGCAGCCCAGGAGCAAATGAAAATAACTGAATTACGCCTTGCCAAACTCTTCACAGAGAAAGCAGATACTGCACCAACAATTAAACCGTTGGCTACAACTAATATTGCGAGAAAAGCAGAAGGTGATTTCATCTTTTTATTTCTGTTAATCATTTATTTTAATTGTTTTTGTGTGATTCGTTATCTTAATCTCAAATTTTTCGAAGTTGCTCCTTATTCTCCCACTATGAGGATTTTTGCTTCACCTTTGCATAAAAGTCTTTTCAACAGTTCTCTAAATGATGTGAGCACAATATATTTCAGATCTTCTCTTCCTAAACTTTACTGTTGAAGGACTTCAAATCTACTCTATGGTCTGACTTATGAATCTTGAGTCATCGGAGATGTTAGCAATTGGTTATCCCCTTGTTTCCTGCAGTTTGGAAACATGCCATCTGCAAAATACCTTCGCCTGATCTTCTCAATTACTCAATTTTCTGATGCATCTTCTTGAGAAACTCTATTTCAAGTATGCAGTGATGATAACTATTATAAAGTTCGGAAAGTATTTATAATATCCCGAAAATAGCATTTCCATATGTTACATTTTCCATTACATTTTTCATTGAACCTTAAATTGTAGAAGATCGTGTGAACATTATTGGAGCACATTTGACTGCTGCAACTGGAGATGCTGGAGCAAAACCAGCTCATATTCCAAATAGAACTCGCCCGCCCATCACAACCCATGTTCTTGATACTAGTCGTGGATGTCCAGCGAGTGGCATTGAAGTGCAACTAGAGATGTGGAAAGACAACCAAACAAGACCACAATTTGGCAAAGCAAATATTGGTGGGTGGAAAGTACTAGGGTCTTCAGCTACGGACAAAGATGGTCGAAGTGGTCAGTTGATGAATATGGTTGAAGCTTTGGCTCCAGGAATATACCGGATAAGTTTCAACACAGGTGAGTATAATCCTGATGGATTCTTTCCCTATGTCTCTATTGTCTTTGAGATCAGAGAGTCCCAGAAATGGGATCATTTTCATGTTCCTCTTCTGCTCTCTCCATTCTCATTCTCCACATATCGTGGTAGCTAGTTTAATAAGGTGGTTGGTAAGTGTTGAAAATTTTCACGAGAATAATACTGTATTTTATTTGGATGAATGAATCACTTACCCTTATGCTTTGCCTGGAAATTGTATTTCTTCTATCAGTTTGTGTTTCCAGATTAAGCTACAAATTGACATAGTGGTTGTAAATATAAGTGTTTCTTTTTCCAGATTAGCTAGACAATAGTTATTGTAGATACTATAATTTCAAATCTTCTTTAAAAACCTATAGAAAAACATTATGAGGTCAACTTTAAGATACTTTTAAAAGAAGGGGGTAAATTATTCTTTTTCCTAAGGTATTTTAACAAGTGGAATTCATTGTGTCAAATTTTTTATCAATTTAAGTACGCGCTGGAGCTCCATTGGTGTCAAGACAAATATGAGATGATTTGCTAATAACAATAGCATTGACATCTACAAACATTAACATCATAAAATACATCACAATCAGCAGAACTAAAATTTCTTTTCCACTTTATGTATATTTCCTTCCTTTTCCCCCCTCTCTTTTCCTAGCTAGTAAGTACTAGTTCGGGATTGTTTCTTGATTAAAGTCTCTTTGCACTAATTTTCCATAAATCAAAATGCAAATGAATAAGGAAAGTTACTCTTTCTCTTTCTCTGTCTTTTTATATTTTTTACGAACCATAAAGAGGTGGAAGTTTTTTTATTAATAAGGAAAATTACTTCATTTTCCTGCTTCGTCTTTTTTCCTCTTTTGTTTCTTTCCAAGAATATATTTATAATAATACATAATACGTACCTGTAAAATTATAAATAGGGGTCGCTCGGATCCTCTTCTATGTACAATTATAAATTTTCCCTTCTTACATTCTTCTCTTTAGCTTCGAATCCAAAATGTCTTCTCAAACAACTAGTTTGAATAATATTCCTGGAAATAATATTAGTTACGACGATGGCGGAAATATATTGGATAATCATGGTTGGCATGCCCCAAATAAAGCCGTTTGGGGTGTTATAGCCCTCGTTTTTCTGCTTTTGCTCTTGGGGATCATCTACATAGTTAGAACCAAAAAATCCTCCAAAAATACTGAGCCAAACGATAGTAATGATGCTAACGTCTAAGGTGTAGAGGGGAAGAAATTAGAGAAGCTATATACTTCGACAGTCTTTTAGTTTTTCATATTATGTCAACTTTATTTTTAATTTGTTTCTTTTATTACATTGTTTATGGAAGAGTGAGAGAAATTGTTCTGTGTGTTTTCTTTCCTTCAAATTAAGTTTTTGCGTTTAATGAAGTTATGATTTTTACTATTGTGTATTATAATATGCGAGTCTGCTTTTTTTTTCTTCTTCATAATATATATGTTGGAACAAGGTTGGAGAGTACTCCTTATGCTTTTGGCCTCCTATCAAACTACTAGCTTAGATATTTAGAAGATTAGTACATGCAATTTTATAGAAGAGATGTTAAGCTATAAAAAAAAGGATTTGGTTGAACCCCTAAAACTAGACATAACATAATTTGAAGAGAAATAATAAACCCGAAAAACTCTTCTCTTGTCTTTGTTTCTTAGTGTGTTATTTAATTCTTTTTAGTTTTCTTGAACTTTAATATATTTTTTATATTTTTTGTGTTATAATACTATATTATTAATTTACAAATTAAAAAATTTAAACATTTGTGGGGCTTATTCCCATGTCTCGAAGCTTACGCCTCGCCTCGTATTATGTGAAACGGCTCGCCTTCCCGCCCTCGGCTTTCAAAACACTGCGTGGGTACATATAATTCATGATTTCGGGACATTTAGATTTTGATGCATGACATGGGTAATGAGAATTTTTATTATGGTCAATTATTATTGGATGAATTTACGTTGGGGAGTATGTTTTCTCTTATACGTTGGAAGAGCAATCAAAAATTGAACCGAAGAATCGGGTATATATTCTCACTCGATTGGTCTTGCGCATTCGAGTGAGTGATTACTTAAATCCTAGAGTAACTGTTTTTAACATGAAATCACATGGACTAAAAGATATTTTTCGATGCATAAATTTGATTTGATAAGAGATATGATCAGACCCTAATGAATATGTTGAAAAGTTGCATTACTGGGACAAGTAAAGACAGCCTTATGCATAAAGCATCACACGTTAACGCAAGGTTCGAATAAAAGCTATAAAAAGTGTGATATAGACATCATATTCTAACGCAAGCATTAATAATTGCTTCTACGATAATGAAATTATTTGGGGAAAGAAGTACAGACACTTACGAGTTATGCTAATCTGTTAGATGTAGTGTTTATATTTTTGTGTTACATGGAGAGGAGTTGGATCAACCTAAACTGGTTTACAAGTGGTAATTGAAACACAATCACAGTTTCAAAAGTAATCGAAATTTAGTCACTTTTCATGTAAAAGATAAATCTGAATAAAAACATTGTTCAAAATCCGGAAAATATTCCAACATAATATGCTGGAGTTCGAATTTTTACATGTGAACTTCCAGCACGTTAATTTCACAATGTGCTGGAGTTCCAACTTAACATGCTGGAAGTCAATAAATAGGTGCTCCAATCTCCAATATATTATGCTGGAATTTTTCGTGTGCTGGAGTTCCAACATAATATGCTAAAAGTTCATACACAGGTGTTCCAATCTCTAGTATATTATGCTAGAACTTTCTGTGTGCTGGAGTTCCCTACATAATATGCTAGAAATTCATACACAGGTGCTCCAACTTTCTGTTTTGCAGCAAAATATGACTATTTTTCAATAACTTTACAAATCCTGGCTTTTTTTTAGTTACCAGTCCGAAAATTGATTAACCTGTACTATTTTGAGCTAAGCTCTCAGTACTCAAATTGACACATATATATAGGTTCTGAAAATTAGATATATAAAGTCGCAGAATTCTTTTTAGGAAACTAGACTTATAAATTAGTAAGACCTTGAAAAATGTTACATAGAGAATAGAGTGACAAGTCAATGTATCCCAGAGGTACTATATTCGATTTTCATCGTACCTGTCATTTTTCATTTTCTCTATCCGAGTCTGCCACAGCAAAAGGAAAAAGAAAAAGGATTATTGCATCGTATAGCCTGTTTTGAGGCTATTTTTTTAATTCTTTCTTTTGTTAGCGTTCTGGACTAAATTTGCTTTAAAAATTAATTGAGTAAATTATTACTTTTTGCGACAAATTTAATTCGCTGAACTAATGGGAGGAGCACTTATAGAATGATCTCAAAAAGGTCATCCTAATATTGACCAGCTTCCATAAAATTAACATTTGTAAATTATTACTTTTTCTTTCTTACTTTATGTATGGTTAATTCACTTTATTGATTTGAAGTCTCTTTGCCCTATTTCCATAAATCTTCAAGGCAAGTATATGAATAAGGAAAGTTGACTGTTTCGCTCTCTATATTTTTTTTCACGAACCACAAAGAGGTGGATTTCTTATATTAATAAGGAAAATTAATTAGTTTTTCCTACTTCCTCTTTCCTCTTTTGTTTCTTTCCAAGAATTATTCTTATGAAACTATATATAGGGGTCTCTTCCACCCTCCTAGCTCTATGTACTACTATATAAATTTTCTCTGTAGGTAGTTGAATTCAAAATGTCTTTTCAAACAACTGGTTTGGAGAATATTATTCCTGCAAATAATAGTGTTTATGGAGGTGGAAATCAGGGAAAAATGAATTCTGATGGTAAGCATGTCCCAAATAAAGCCCTTTGGGGTGTTTTAGCCTTCGTTGTCTTAGGCCTGCTCTTGTGTATAATGGACATGATCAAAAGTAAAAAATCCTCCAAAAATACTCACCCAAAGGATAGTGAACAAACAAAGGAAAGTGATGATGCTACGTCTAAAGTGTAGAGGGGAAGAAAACAAAAATTTATATATATATACTTCGACAATCTTTTAGTTTTTGATTTTATTATGTCAAAAATTTGATTCTTTTATTACAAAGTTTGGGAGAGTAAGAGCAATTGTTCATCATATTTTTCTTTCCTTTCAAGATTTTTTTTGGGGGGGGAGGGGTTTAACGATGTTATGGTTTTTAACGTTGCATGTGTAGTATAATTTATACGATTCTTCTTCTGTTTTTTCCCCTTAATATGTTGGAACAAGGTTGACAGAGTGCCAATTATGTTATTTCCTCCTATTGAACAGCTAACTCAATCACATATCAAGAAGATTAGTTCAATTTATACAATGAGATGTGAAGCTATTAAAACAGGGTTTGGTTTAACGTCCAAAAACAGACATAAAATAAATTTGAAGAGAAAAAAATAAATCTGAAGAACTCTTCTCTTCAGTTTTGTGTTTTAACGTGTACTCTATTAGTTCTAGTAACACCAAAAGCAGAAAAACGTGGAAAAGTTCAACTTTTTTGTTAATTTCTTTTATTACATTTTTTGGAAAGAGCTAGTGACATATATTATTGTTAGTGTCCTCCCCTACCCCCTCAAAATTTATTTTTTTGAATTTAACGATTTTATGATTTTTACCCTTGTGTAGTGTATATATATATATATATATATATATACACTCTTCTTTCTGTTTTCCCATAATATGTTGGAACAAAAGGAGAGTGTCGTCCTTTCTTTTTATGCTTTTTCCTCCTATCAAACTACTATAAACTAGAAATAAAGAAGATTAGTGCAATTTTTACAAAGAGATGTTAAGCTTCAAATAAGGATGTGCTTGAACTTCAATATATATGTTTACCTCGAAAAATGTGAGTAACAATTAATTAAATATGATTTGTGGTTTTAAAGATATGTGATTTATTCCAATACTAGTGAAGGTACAAATAATATTAAGTTTAAGTAAGAAGAATTGATGAACCAAACCAATGTTGTTAGAGCAATAAGGACCTCGGGCTCGATTATCTCTGGGGCCTCGAGGTGCGCTAAGAGCAATAAAGTATGAACAATAAAGTAAAGACAGTAAAGCTGAAGAACAATTGTTGAGCACGGGAAACAAGAAAAGCAGAGTAGAATGTTCTATAGCAATGAATGAGATAATGCTTACAAATGATTGGGGTCCCCTTTATATAGGAGGGGAAAATCCTAATATGGTACATTTCCAACTATGGTAAAGAATTCTATTGGTACATCTGTATAACAACCTAGTACGGACTTGTACTATTTCGTACAAATCTTATCCTACTCCCTCGGTTTCAATTTATGTGAACCT